GTCAACACATCACACTTGTTATCATGTGACTAACTAACTTGTATGCAGTGTTCTCCTTTTTAAGGTGGTAAGGCATAAAATTTACTGCCTGTAGTACTGCCTCATATTACTGTCTAAAATCATGTAGAATTCTTAAAGAATTCAACGGTTAAAAGGATTCTCCTACCAGCTTGAAAATTTATCTAACCTGTAGTGCTTAAAATAGGGGAAAACACTGCAAGACAATCAATGATCATTTATTAATTATGCTTACCTGGCCTTGGTACCAGCTGTTTTTTTGGTTCATATGCATGTATATCCATGGGTTTATAAGTAGTTGACCAGACCATTTGACACCGCATCCCACTGTTTTTATTTGCAGAATGTATCCCTCTAGAAGTCCAATCTGTCCAATACATTTTGTTTTCATATAACGTCAAGGCAAATGGATGAGCTTGATTTGCCAAAATACATTGACTTGGAGTTTTAAATATTCTCTCCCGGTTTGAACCATCAAAATTAGCTTTAGCTATATAAAACAATTTTGCATCTGTCCAGTAAATTTTCTCTGCACTGTAGTCTATTGTGAGCCCATTGGGTCGACGAATGTTTTGTCTGACAATTACGGAACGATTAGAGCCATCCATTTCAGCTCTCTCTATCTTGGGTTCTTTACCCCAATCTGTCCAAAACATGAACCTGAAATTATAATTTGAGAGACAACAATTTTTTAGAAACTTTTAACACCATTGTTATTCTAACAAGCATCAACTACTGTAATTACGCTTAAACTGCAATGAAAAATGGACAAGTCCTTTATTTGAAATCATTTATTTTCTTTACAGAGAACTGTTCTTGTTGCTCTCAATTTGGTATTAAATGCCTTAAGTACATTTTCTTATTCGACAGCAGAGATTGAGAGTGCTGTGTGCCATGTAGGATTCAACCCCCAAATGAAGTTCTTTGAAATCCTTTGACATTTCAGCAGCCACAATCGTCTAGTACTGTACGTAGGCCCTTGGAAAAACGGCCATAAAGAGATCTTTCAAGTTACATTACCAAGGCAATTTCAGGGTCAAAGTTAAGTTGATTCAAGGAGTAAGATTCAAAATCCATAACTTTACCGCAGTGATTTATCAGTGACCAAAAATTTTAACACCAGTTTTGTGACTTCTAATCTTAAAGTCCAGCAATTTATTTAAAACCTGGATTGAGTCAGCACAGCCATAAGTTTACGGTTAAAAAACATGGTTGTTTTAACAGATGAAGGACAAAAACGCCTTCATATTAGTACTGTATAGTGCACTGATTACTCTTCACGTGAAGTAAACAGCTTTTCAGTTTGTTTGATTTAAGTGACAACTGGGTGAAACTTTTTCACTACGTTGTTTGATTTTAGTGACACATAAATAAAACTTTTTAATTGCATTGTTACCTGCAAGATACTGCATGATTGAGACACACAATGAAAAGTTATGTCACTAAAAAAATACCGATGTTTCTTTTCTTCTAGCCTAAACAAATACAACAATGGCTCATAGTTTTTAGAAATGGCCAATAATTTTAAAACGCCATTGGCCATAAACTCAAAAGCCTATTCTCTGTAACAGTGTTCATTTGTTTGAGAATTTACTGGGCATACATCTGAGTAACATCTTTCAATATCCATACGTAACTCAAGCTCTCTTTTAAAGTGACCAACATTTTGTTGTATAAATTACAATAAACAACATTACTATTCTTATGGTAAAGGAGAAAAAGTAAACTTGCAAAATAGGAAATAACGAAGATCTTGAGATAGGCTGAACTATTGTCCAAGGCCATTAACAAAGCTTTCTTCAAAGCTCTCTTTATATGAGACCATAGATTATTCAAGAATAGATATTGCATATCAACAGATTTTCAACAAAAACCCAAGCCCTTCACTTATGCTCCAGGTTTTTACAGAAGACCAGCCCCTCATTAACAACACAGAGAGAAATAAAACTTGCTTCAGAGGACAATGAACACTAAAGAACTAATTAAGTCTATAATTTCAAAATGTTAACTCATTCCACAACTACTGTATTTTGGGCAAACAAGAGAATCTTTCAGCTAGAGTGAAATTCACAAATAAAATATCTTCTCTGAGTGGTTCTCTCAGATTGATTCTTTGACATGACTCTCTGGCTTTACTCAGTGAATTTCAACAGGGGGCTACAATAACAAAGAAAGCTTAGATTCCAGTAAGATTCACAAGCTTTCTTTGAAAATGGTATTGAGTTCAAATACTGGATGCATGCAACAAATTCTTTAGGGTATATTCATCACTCAAGAGATTGCTTGGAGAGACATTCATGGCAACACTTGTGACCTTCAAGGTTCGCTAGAAGCAGGCTAACAAAAAACAATGATAGATAACTGTTTGCCCGCCGAAGTTCAACGCTTAATGTATTTTTAATTGAGCACAGTTCATTAGTCTTTCCTCGTCGAACGGCTGTGACTAAAAGTTGGATGGCGACGTGGGGACTGGGACTTGGGACTCGAGGACGTGAGACTCAGGGACGTGAGACTCAGGGACGTGAGACTCGGAGACGTGAGACTCAGGGACGTGAGACTCGGAGACGTGAGACTCAGGGACGTGGGACTCGGGGACGTGGGACTCGGGGACGTGGGACTTGGAGACGTGGGACTCGGGAAGGTGAGACTCGGAGACGTGGGACTCGAGGACGTGGGACTCGAGGACGTGGGACTCGGGGACGTGGACGCGGGAACTCGGGGACGCACGGGACTCGGGGACGTGATAAACAAACAACACCTGACATTTGCGCTGATTTTGTAGAGTATAATTTTCGGTGGTCTCGATAAAGCTACTATATGCTGGAGAGCTTGTTAGCAGTAGCCGATGGTTTTCAGCGTTCATGGTTCGGCCGGAGATGTTTGCTTGCCTATTTGACCGTGAGAACTCTGGGTACAGAATACTTTTAACGCAGGGGTCTTGAAACTGTTAAAAACATCGTGAGCAGCTATGGAGGACTTTCCTTGTAAGTACCTGTGTTTTCTTCTCGATCCATGCCTTATCCTTGTTAAAAAGGAATAAGAAAGAAAACAAAGTTACTTACCAGGAAAGTCCTCCATGGTTGCCCTCGATGTTTAAAACCCCTTGCGTTGAAATTATTCTATACCCAGAGTTGTCACGGTCAAAGAGGCAAGCAAACATATCCAGCCGAACCATGGACGCTGGAAATCATCGGCTACTACTGACAAGCTCTCCAGCATATTACACCTTTCTCGAGACCACCGAAAATTATACTTTACAATTTCAGCGAAAAAATCAGGTTTGTTTATCACGTCCCCGAGTCTCCACGCGTCCCCGAGTCCCCGCGTCCTGCGTCCCACGTTCTCGAGTCCCACTTCTCCGAGTCCCACGTCTCCGAGTCTCGCGTCCACGAGTCCCCGCGTCCCACATCCTCGAGTCCCACATCCTCGAGTCCCACGTCCTCGAGTCCCACGTCCCAGTCCCACGTCCCAGTCCCTACGTCCCAGCCCCACTTTTAGTCACAGCCTCGTCGAATTTAATGAGAAGCACCAACTCTAAAAAAGCAATCTATTTACAAAATATCGAAATCCAAAATAACAAGTTCTCCCGAAGCCAAGCAAAACCTTCGTTGTAGAAAAATTACTGACGATTTTTCTCAAACTCAGCACAAAATAAACTGCAGCTATTGAGTGCAACAAGATAACACAAAGTCTTCAACTTACCCCTTGAGTGGATCCACCGCAATCGCCCTTGGAAGACCCAAGTCTTTCCACAAGAGAACTTTGCGATAGGATCCATCAAAATTTGCAACTTCGATTCTGTTCGTTTCCCCGTCAGGATCTCTACGATCAGTCCAATACAACTTTTTTCCTACCCAATCTACGGCTAATCCTTCGGGCCTTTTCAAACCCACAGATATAACATCTTCAACTTTTCTTGAGTTAGGACTTCCCGTCATACGAATTCGTTTGATTTTCTTAGCCCTGACATCCGTCCAAAATATGTATCCATCTTCGTAGCTGAAATCCACCGCGATAGCATTCAAAAGACCAACAGCTACGATGGTTTCATTTTGGTTCTTTTCATTTGGTCGTACTATTCTGATGTCTCTCCGGTTTGCGTATAAAATCCTTTGAGAAGTCGCTGTAAAAATAAAGTTTTGGATTAGAAGAGTTGCTGGCACGAAACTAGAACTAAAGAGTAAAATACCTGA